TGATTGGATGTTGAGTTTAGTGTGTGTCAAAATAATTGTGTGCTCAGTTAAAAAGAAGAGAAGGAATTGTTTGCTAATTGTTAGACTGAAAATAAATTGCAACCTCATTTTATGTCTAATTGTTAGCTGAAAAATTAAAGCTTTCCTTCATGGATAGTGTTTCAAATCTGGTCTGAAGACCTACAGTAGCTCATAACTGAGGTAGTTTTTAATTTTATTTAAATACCATTAAATAATATATAATTTGATTGAGCTTGAATTTAATTTTCTCATAGCAACGTTACATGATAGCAGCAATCCAGGAGATCTCTAGAGAGGCCAACCAAGAGCCAGCTGAGCAGACAGCAAAATATTTAGAAGCTTGCGACCTTATCTTTGAAAAAGGCCTTCTGAGTCAGTCAAGAATAAATAGCAAATATAAAAGAAGGGATGGCTTTCTTTGAAAACTGGTGTCAGAGGCATGAAAACACTGGTATGTATATATGACAGTTTCAAAATTTAATATCATTATTTTTTTAATTAATAAATTATGCATTTATTTTTTCTGTCATAGTATATGCAGACAACACCAAAAAGGCAAGAATGAAAAGATTTTTAGCTTGGCAGGTAGATTTAGTGAACCTAAATTGCTGACTTAAACAACAATAACAATTTTTAAAATCTATCTTTTGATCATTTATTTAGACCTGGGATCTACTGCGTATTGTTGTACATGGCTTCCTGTCATTTTGTAAATGTTTTTTTACTTTAGTCTCATCAAATGGGAGATATTTTGTAAGCCCACTTCTCTTTAATGGGAGTGCACTGGAGTCAGTATTTAGTGTACTTAAGTACTCAAGTGGAGGGAATCTTTCAGGATTGTCATATGGCCCTGCCCTTGGAAAGCTGATTACAAAAAAAGACCAGGCCCAGAACAAGTATTCTGAAAAAGGTTACAGGGAKGTGCAACTAYATTTGGATKGAGAAAGCAATTTAGACAGCATTCAAGTTCAATTTGTTAAGAATTCTCAGTATTTAAGCACATATTCATTTCCTTCTCATATTTCTCAATCAACAATAGCTGATAGGTAAAGGTAGGCAAGGTAGCAATGCATGTACAATCATAAGTGTAAAATTTGGAGAATATTGTTTGCAAAGCAAATTAGATATATCTGTATGTTGGGCACAGTTACCTCATATGTGGTTCAACTGTTTTACTAATGCTATCTGTGATGGTAACCACTACTATGATGAACTATTCGGTGAAACTCCTGATGTATTGTTAGATGTAACTGATGTTGTAAGCTCATTGGGAAATGAGTGCAATGTTAATTCAGCAAACCATATATTTGGATTCAATGATAACAATAATTACAATGATCTCATTGAGCACTTACAAGCTGTAGCTAATAAATCTGTTAATGACAGCTATGTTGTAATTATTGGTTGTGAAAGATCAGTTGGCATTCTTGTCAAATCAAATGAACACTGTGCTATAATTGATAGTCACAGACATATCATAAATAATRTTGATAGTGGTGGCCACATTCTCAAGGCGGCAAATC